TTTTGCCAAGAGAGGTTGGATCAGGTGATCCTTGAGGTCTCCTTCTAACCTTGTATCCTTTGATTCCTACTCTAGATGACCTAAAAAGATTCTGGTCCATTAAATTTTTAAATTCAGCATATATAAAATGCTTATCCATAGAAGACCTATTTCTCTCACCGTATTTTTTCCCCTGCTGATATATATCTTGCTAGATATTACTTTACTAGTACTAATGCTTTTGAGGCCAAAGCAAAAAAAAAAAAAATCAAAACCCCAAAGGCTTCATACTCACTCCATACTCATTTAAAAAATCAGTCAAACAAGAAATGGCACACAGACAGTATGTAGTACATTGTTGTGCACTTCTCCAGTTAAATGGGAACCAGCTGTGTTTTTCAAGAAATAGCTCCACACTGCAAGGCATCCTCCATTCATTTATAAAGGCAGAAATACTCAGCTGAACTACAGACTTGAATGGCTGAACTAGTGGCTAGTAGTTTATTATAGTTCCTGCAATTCCCAACAGCAAACCATGAAACTAACATGAAGATTGATGCTCTTTTGCTAGTTACAAGCCAAGAAATGTAGACCATCTCTTTCATATTAATATATGCCCAATCTGATAAAATACATAGTTTTGTTATGCTAGGGTAAGAACTTACTCTTTATTGTTTAAAAATGTCAATAAAGGTAATGGTTAGAAAAAGGGTATTAGCTAGCACTACCAAGACTTACGTCTTGCATGTGCTCGGTTGGGGGGATATGATGAAATTACGAAACCACAATATGAGTGTGAAGAATCAGATTTCAGGTGGGGTGATATTATCCAAGAAAGAAAAGCATATGGAAATAGTGAAGAAGCAGCAATTGCCTTATATAATTCAAAAGTTCAGCTAGAGAAAAAAGTTTACAACCAAAAAGGAAGACTGTGGTGGGCTCTTCCAGCTGCTCTACCAGTCCTTGAGTCAGGTGCCTGGTGGGCTAACTTGACTCAAGGACTTCACACAAGGCCACTGATTTGAATGAGGGGCTTGGGTCCCCCATTGCAATGGATTGCTCCCGCTCCCATGTTAACTAAAGTTTGCATTTTGTGATGTTCTGCATTCTGTCAATTTGATTGATATGTTTACAGCATCTGCAACAGCAGTTTGCAGGTAACAAAAGCCTTAGAAAGGGAAAACATGCAGTTAGAACAGCAAAAAGAAAATGCCTAGATAACAGTATCATGACAGCATTTATAACTTAGCATTTATAGCAGGAGGATGCACCAGCATTTTCATAAAGTTTCTCCCAGACCTACTTGCTAGGATTCGTCAATGTTTCAGTACAACGTGTAGTCTGGCTATCAAGTATTCAAGACATTTAAATGCTCCACAGATTAGTTATCCTTAAACTCTTCCTTAGTATTTAGAAAACAACTGTCCTGCTCCAAGGCACTTTGCTCAAATCTTTAAGACAATGTAAGCTACCAGACAGAAGCAACATTTGTTGTATGATATATCTTTTCAGCAGTTTCTAGTGGAGTAGCTCAACTGTCTGCATGTGACTACCTTTTAAAATCATGCAGTCGTGACTCATCATGAAAGTATGTGTTACAGCATCCAGAGTAGAAGAGCTTGAGTTTATTACTGTTTCTTCTTGGGCAGTAGCAAAAACTGTACTGGAAGGAGAGTATTCACCTTTTTTTTTATAGCGAGGTCAACCACAACTGTATATTTCCAAATATTAAATGCTGGTTCCTACACTTGCTTTTAATAAAATCAGTTACCTCATAGAAAACCAAAGCTGCTATAGTATAATATGCTTCTGTTAAGATCTCACGTATCACGTGCTAGCTTGGAGTTGCCAAAAATACACCCAATGACACCATACATTTCAGTTTTTGCAAAGATAAGTACCATGGGGCTAGCCTGGAGACTTGTGAACATGAGCCAAGCAGCTTTTTAATAATGTAAGTATTTGAACCTCTTTGTGCCACAATACATTAATCAGTGTTTTATTCCTGGTATATCTGGTAGGCTTTTTGGCTTGACAATAATAAATTGCCTTTTCCATCTACTTTTTTTTCTGTGGCAGGCATCTAAAATCTACTTTACATTTGAATTAGTCTTCCCAGCCATCAGACATTCTGCCTTTCTTTTAATTGCTATCTAGAAGCTACAAAATAGTGCATAATTTTCCTAACAGCATTTCATTTTTTTTAAATTAAGCAGTTCTATTTATTATACCTCACACAATAGATTCACATTTTATACTGTGTATCATTTCACTTTGGTTTCTCTTAGCCTCAACCTTACGTTTTTCAAGGTTTCCATCATTTTTGCATTCTGTTCCCATGTGTACACTGACTACTTTAGAGACTAAGGACTGCCTGGCTCTGTTGCTATGCAACAGCATAGCCTACTTAGGGCTTCCTGAAATAATTGTCTCA